TACACAGACAAAAATATGTATAAAAACCATCATGTCTATAATACTGAGACTATGTTAAAACATTTAAAATATTTTATACGGTTTTTAATAGTGTTTGAATACAATATAAATTTCGAGTTTGTTCGGAAAATACTTGATCTTTCGTTTTAAGACTATTCGACTTTTTAAGCTCGGGGATTGAATACATTATCACGTACTGTTGTGGGCTTAAAGACCTTATAATATTGTATACATATATATGTATAAAGACGCTAGGTGCTGTATTAAAATATCTTAAATTGATATTTTTTTCTAAGTTTATTCCTAAAAAACCTACTTAATATTTTTGAAAAATTATAAATTATATTAATACACCTATGTTAATACATTTTGTTTATCAATATTTTATTAATTAAATAGATTGTAAATAATATCGTTATGATCAAAACCAAAATATGTCAATTCAGTGTAATATGACATTTGGTTATAATATATTGAGGTCTTACATTTGCGTTCGAAATAAAAATACTAGTTCATTACGTTGCATATTTTATAAACATTATACAAATTTGTGAAAGTGTGTTGAACATTAAAAATATTTTTCAAAACTGTTATTATTAAGTAGGATAACACAAGTAGGCATAACTATAAATAAAAATAATTATGAAATACCTCGAATTGTTCAAAATATACTTTAGAAATATTTCACGAGAATTTCTGCACACTGGAATGATTAATAAATGTGTTCATTAAGGCGATAAATAATTTTTTTATCTAAATACAGACCCGTACACAAAAATAAAGCAAGCGGACTTAGGTATATACTGCCCTACACCAGTGACGAACTGCATAGCACTGAACACACACTACTTCATTATTATTATTCAAGTGCAAAACTTGTACACATATCTTATGAAAAAAAAATAACAATAGACAATCATATATTTTAATGATTTTACTGTTTTAGATAGGCTGCAAGTTGTTCATTTTATATTCGATTCCGAACGTAATGAGGGAGCTATTTTTATATTATGATTTTTGTAAAACTACTGAAACTATAAAAATGAAAATACGCACTATTCTATATGTTCTTGTTTCACAGTTTTTGTTTTGCCCAACTTTTAGATAAAAAAACAAAAATGCATAATCATTATTATTTACATTATTTTTTTTTATAAACATATACCTAGGCATAATAGGTATTATTAAATTTTAATGATTATATGGAGGATATAAAATCTTCTTCGTCGTCGTCCTCTATTTGACCGTTGGTTTAATCAGTGCTCGAATTAAAAAAATTAAAGTTCAAAGACTATGAGTTTTATAAAAAATCACACCATCCCTTGTATTGATTGAAATAAACCTAACCCTTGTGGCTTCACGTTTGTTTACCAAACGCGTCTCGTTAAAACGTTAAAACACGCGTTTCCTTACAAGACCAATTAATAATTTACAAAACCAAACACCCCCGATAATACCTTGGCTAAATTTTATTTCATATAATTTTAGATTGTTTTTATAAAATTGTTATATATGATTTTCATAAAATACCTAATGTTAATGTTTTTATTTTGATTAGATTATTTATATATACCACATAAGACAAAAGTACAATACAGACATGATAATAATTTAGAATTTACTATATTGAAAATAAACTTAAAAAAAATAATTACAATTTATCTGAATTAATTCTATATGTTTTTGAAGAATATTATTTGCAAAAAAAAACGTTGGTACCGTCTCAGTGGAAGTAATTAATGAAAAAACTCTAAAAAAAAAAAAATAAAAAGTATAATAGAAGTGCTCCGTCCCCCTGCGTCCCCCCTAATTTGAGCACTGGGTATAATATTATGTACACTATGGCCCATACGAAATTTTAACTTTGAAATCTCGTTAGAACGTTTCGTTGTTCGTCTCTAACTCGTTACCGACTATACGGTATATACAGTTTAATTAAAAAACTTTAGTTTTTATATTTAAAAAAATAAAAACAAAATTGGATAAAATACTATAAAAAACAATATGGTATATTTTCAGTAAACTTTTAAAGGAAACAAATTGCCGTTAGTTTAGGCACTGATGATGCCCTTCTACTATACACTAACGACTAACCCTTCATAATTTTATAAACCGTTTTATTCGGCTTACATTATTAATCTCTGCAACAGTATCTACATATACTATATTATGCACGCGATTAATTTGCATAGAAATATTATTACGCGCGTGCGTTTAGTATAATATTATATACTATTATTAGTATCACCTATTATTAATCGGTAGAAGTTTAAATAGCAATCTCGTGAAAACAAAGTGTCAATAAAACGTTGACGGAATCCCACTATATGCACGTAGTAACTATATTATATCATATACCAAAAAGCCGAACTGAATCCTGCGTTTGAGTGTGACAACCAAAACACACGATAATTTAAAATAATTTTGAGCAAACGGTCAGTAACTTAGTATCATCGCATTTCCTTAACTGCGGTCTGCTTGAGTATTCATAAAAAAAAAAAATTGTTTAATGCGCTGGATAAATCATTTACAGACAAAATACATTACCGGCCAGAACTCGATTAAACATTTTTCGTAAAAATTTTGCTCTGGTTATTGGTCTAGTCAGTGGATTGAGGAGATCATTTTTTAATTTTCTTTGCGGTTTTATTAATAATTACAAAAAACCAAGTAAAAACGTAAGAAAAACGGGAAAATGTATGACATGCAATAATGGCTTTGTATATTCAAAAATATTCTGAATAAAAGCTATGAATGGTAGCTAGTGGTGCAGAGTAGTTGGTCGAATTATAAAGTTCGTCTAAAGTCTGAAAGACGTTCAGCACTGGCTACTGGCTAATTCCGTCGCGAAATATTGTATTTGTTTTATTATTATCGTCTTCGTAATCGTGTTGAAATCATCCACGGCGGCGGAGGCGGACGAAAGCAGACCGGATTGTTTGAATAACTGTAAATGACGCAAAGGTATGTATAATACAATATACGGGAAGAAAATAAGAAGAAAAAAAAAACAACAAACCAGGCAACCAACTAACGAACGAACGTGGTGAGGCGCAAGTTCTTAACAACGTGACGCACCCTGGCTATTCATCAGAGGCTCGTGTAGACGCCGCCGCAGTGCCGAACGCAAATCCTCATGTCGAGAAAGTTGTAAATTATAACGAGATAACGAAAAAAAAAATATATATAGCAAGAGAGAGAAGAAATGGCCGGGCTGATCCCTCGGGGAGAGGGTGGCTGAACACCGCCGCATCACCTGCGTAGTGAAAGGGGTTCTGGTTGCAGAGTTAAAGGTCTACCCCGAGCGTCTATCAATCTTCATCGGTCATCCACCCGCCCTCTCCCCCATGATAACCGCCTCTACTGCAACGGCTCTTTCGCGGTGATAATATCAAAATGCTTTTGCCCATTAATTTCGCGCTGAGCAGAAACTGTCCGAAAACATTTCGTGTATATATATATAAATACATATTAAATATATTGTTATATAGGGTGGTAGATAATATTATATTATATACCTGCATATTATTTACACAACATAGCAGAGAAAAACCACCGACCAATTTGTTGGAAGGGGGCAGACTAGAGGTCTAAACTCGGACTAACTCTGTTTATGCATCATATTGTTTAATAACTTGTTTTAAAATTTAATTGTAATTAAATTATATTTAGTATTTACCTTTATAACAAATATATAATATGCATTAAGAGATCATTGATAAGAGTTTAATGTCAACGAATTGATAATCCTGGACCGTGATAGACAAGACCATCGACTTTTCTACTTCTAAATGCGACCAATCCGACGCGTGGCGTGGCTTTTGCCTTTTACTCCTATACCTTTATTTACAAAACACCCGACGCGTCATAGTTTTTAAACCATTCAAGGTTTTAGGATTTTACTTTTTCTTTTTTTTCGAACAACAGTAGAGAAAATGTTTTAACAATACTACCCAACTGCTGTCACATAATTTTAGATTTACAATTAAGACAATAAATTCCATGGAGCAATTTTATATTTGGAATTTCGATTTTTGAATTTGAGATTTGGCTGGTTTTTTATTTCCTGGGGAGAAGTTTATCTCGTGTCCTATATGAAAGCGCATATTTATTTCAGTATATTTTGAATCATGACACAAAATGTGACCATACTTTTAACAAAGACTGGTCACGTAACGCGTCTGTATCACCATGTATGGTATCACATTGTGTGTAATTATCAACACAAACAATATATACAATGTATACAATACAAATCAGTGAGAACACAGTGTTTTTCTGTTTTACCAGAAACAATATCCAACAAATTTAGCTACTCAAACGATATGACCATCGCAACTCAAACCAAATCCCACGAACAAGGAAAGCTAATACTTAATAATAGTTTAGACAAATTTAATCAATGCTATGCAAAATGGAGACTAAGTCCAAATCCCAGTAAAACTGAAGTGAGCACTTTTTACCGAACTCAGCGTACATTAATGCGGAGAGAGATTGAAACACAACATGAATCCAAAATACCTAGGGATCACCTTAGATAGATCCCTAACCTGTTGAAAACATCTGAAAAAAATGGGACAAAAACTAAAATCTAGGAACAATATTATTAGAAAAATTGGGGAACACAAGCACACACACTACGCATAGCGGCACAAACTCTTGTACTCGTATACTCAGTATCTGAATACTGTGCTCCAGTATGAGAGAGAAGCTCTCTCGTACGGATAAAGTCGATGTTCAATTAAACGACATAATGCGAATAATATCGGGTACCTTGAAATCCGTTTCCCTACCGTGGCTTCTTCACCTATCAAATATTGCCCCCCCCCCTAACCTTAGACAAAAACAGGGAACTATTAGAGTGTGACGAAAGATAAATGGCTCAATCAACACTAGTATGTATTTAATTTATCAAGTCCTAGACAATGTCCTAAGCCTAATGGCTTAAGTCTATATGGGACAATATACCCCAATATTTCGACCTGAAGAAAGAATGGAACATGGAGTGGTCCAAATTTGCAGAACCGCGATCAATAACATATCCACGCCGGCCACCAATGTCTATGCTCCTACTCGGGAAAACATGGAACTGCCTTAACAAGATTAGAACCGGACATGCCCAAATTAAAGAAATGCTATTCAAATGGAGACTGACAGAGAGTACTCAGTATGATTGTGGAGACTTAGTACAAAGTATTAAACATGTCGTCCAGGAATACCCCCTGAGAAAGTTTCAAGGAACATGGGATGATATTCTCACAGCGTCCCCTGAAGCAATTTAATTGGTTGAATCATTGGACTAAATTGCGCGACTTAATAAAGACTTCTTTTATGTTATTTTAATAACTGCTTACTATCGTTTATTATATCCTTTTATATTTTATTATGTACTAAATATATATCTAAATAATGTTTGTATTTTCTTTCTTTTATATATATATATACAACCGTGTTGTAATTTTCATTTTTAATTATTTAATTTAAATTTTACGTTTTATGTTACGCAAACCATGTAGTACTTTTTGCAGGTCATAACGATAAATAAATAACCCCCTCCCCGCCACGGATAGGTCCCGAATACGTGCCGGGATATATGTATACGTTTTTGTCGGATAAACGCGTATCCGCCAGAAAATATACAAGATATACTATTAGACATAGATAAGTATAGTATAGGTAAGTATTGAGTAGGTATACTATAATATTATATAGGTACTGTTTTCACTCTAAACAATAAAACCACGTGTGTGTGTGTGTGTGTGTGTATATATGTATAAATAAAATAAAAACAGCGCTTTGAGAATATCGATAGAACGTGCGGTCGGACGCGCGGAATATTCTCGACGAAGTGATTTATACCTCGGAACGAGCATAATAAGTCATGGCAACGTTACGTATAAATCGTATACATGTCAATCCGCCTTCGATTATCCGAATCCCCGGGATTGCGTACGAAAATCCGGCACTTATAATATGTCGAGGGGTTTATATGCGCGCACAGCGATGGGCTCGGCTCGCGCAAACATTTAGAAATATACGATAATATAAGTATACGCGAGCGAATAACTTATTCGCGGCCATTTTGACACGGAGTTTTTATTAATGTTTCCGATATACTCCTGTTGTGTCGCTCTGCTTACACACACGCGCAAATGGAATATTTTCGTCAGAGAAACGAGGATAATACGCATGGATGTCCGACGGGAATCGTGCGTATTATTATTATTATTATTATTATTATTATTATTATTATTGTTATTGTCATCGTACATTGTAGTGGAAAATAAAATTGGAAAGAATAAATGCGAAATGGCGTTAAAATAGAAGGGTGAGGCGTAATGGATAACGGGAAGAAAAGGTGAAGGTGGTTTAGGTAAAGGGTGAATGGGAACAGGTATAGGTACGGTGGTTATAGGTTATGCGTGGCGTATGTGTGTGTGTGTTGTAGGTACAGCCCTTGATTTACTACAACATATTATACAACGTAATGTAATACGACGCGGTCATGATGTGTACAGCCCGACAATACGGACAAGTGCGCTCGGGGGCCGCGCGATCACGCGCGGCCATTGCTGTCACAGTAGACAGTACTCCTGAACAAAGACAACGCGCGACGCCGTTACAATGCGTTTGTCGCGCGCACGTGCAGACTGACCTATAATAATAACCCGTGCGTTATTGTGTGTGTATTGAGATGTCTTTCTGTAGTGTATTACACGGATTTTATCGCACACAAATCGTACCTATATCCGTATGCACTATACCTGTTAATGATAGTTTTATCGCTTACTGTAAACGGGGGGGGGGGGGGTAAAAAGGGTATTGTATTCCTACGTCTACTTTCCCTAATCGATTTCCTACTGCGAGAATGTGTAAGGTTGCGACACTTGCCTTATGTTTTCTGCTTGAAATTCGCAAAAAGTTCGTTGCTCGAAATATTACGAACAAGATATAAAGTGGTATAGGTATCGGTGAATCGTCGCAATGTGCGCACCTCGTTAGATACTCGATAAACGTGTGAATACTCTTTCGTCTTCGGCTCACAACGCGGCAACCAGGTTTATGGACAATGCTAGTGTAGCAAGAATTGCGTTTTCTCCACCGTCCTTTCTAAGCGTGTAGACGACCGTCTCACGGATGTGAACGAGTTAGACGTCGGCACTACGGCCACGTCCGTTCTGCATTCGCGACCGGTCAACAAGATGTGTATAGCCGTCTGCGTACCGGAATATTATGCATATTTTTTCGAAGAAATAAACACAGTCCATGGTAAAACAATAGTGACAACAAACACAATTACCAGGTGTGTAGTATAGGGGCCGCCTTCGGTATCTGAAAACGCTGTATAGGTTTGGAAAAAAGGTATGGTTGGAATGAGCGAGCAAAAATGTGTTTGCTTCTGCTGAAATCACCCAGAGATGGGATTTGATTAGTGATGTGTACGACGTGTTTAAGCCTTCCACGGTCTCACACACCGGCGACTCCCACTTCGCCACGGTAGCTACGTGGGCACCTATATGTGAGCGACGCGCGTAATCAATATTTTTAATTAATATGTGCCGTATCAAGGTAGCGACACTGTTTAAGAAATGTTTGTGATGGAAATGATAATTGTGCTGTGTATCCTTGATCGTTTATTATACAAATATTTAATATTCAATATAATACATCATCATCGTCGGCGCGCGTTTTCTGTCATCGATTCGGTTCGTCCGCTAGAGTACTGCGGATACTATAATGTTATGATGTATTATACGACTATACGGTAATCGGAAAAAAAAGTAAATCAATATCAATCAATCAATAAATACGTCATAATAATACTGTGTATAGGCGTCTATATCTCGGAGGAGACAGCCCAATGAAATTCCCCAACGCTGAACCGGTGCGCGTATATATAGGTGTAATTCGTGTGTAATGCATTTTGATTGTATAATAGTATAGGTAGTATATTGTATAGGAACAGGGAATAGTATACTAACGGGTACATCATCGTCTGTAAAAAAAAATATGTATATACGATGATAAATATTCATACGACTGCATGCACACGGTTCCATTAGGAATTTGAAAATAAAATACGTATACGATTTTCGCGTGTATACATTTTGCCCGTACTGTAAAATAGGTACGTCATAATTCTATAGGTGAAATTTACATGTGTATGTAGACACTATTATGTTATAAACATTATGTATCATAATAAAACGCAATACTAGTATAGATAGAATCTTTATTAAAAGATTTTATTAACATCATCGCATTCACTGCATTTTGTCTCGTGTATTTTTTTTTTTTTAATAACTTTATATTATGCAGTCTAAAAAACCTAAGGTGCGTTATTCATAATAAGTTGATAATACGCATTTCAATGAAAAACACGATTCGATGTAATTTGCATATTCTTAGACTTAGGAGACAATGTTGTCAGGTCCCGGGGAAATTCGCTCGGCGTGATAGGAAAATCATAAAACAAAAAAGAATGCGGTAATAGCTTTTGTTCGGTCGTATTACAATTAACAAGAAAGTTTTGAATATTATATATCTGTATAATATAGAAGACAAAGTTTAATTAGTTATCAATTTTATAAATTTCTGAAATAGTATATAGTTGAGTAATCGGAGTTTTTAATTTTTTATACGGTGACGATATAATTTCCAATAGGAAGTAAGTTTTATTTTTAAAAGTTAAAAACAATTTGAAAAACTAGCTACAACAGCCTTAAATCTGGCTTAACATATAAAATAAAAATTTAAAAGGGAATTTAGATCATTTTGACGGGCTAAGTCTCCTAATCACTGCCTATAGCACACTTACACGATTTTTTTGATTTTTCCCACACTGTGGGATCGATCTGATGACGTGCCTAGTGCATAAACGATCATCCAGATCAGAATGTCCAAGTTCCAATTCAAAAGAGGGGATGGAAATAAAGTCCATAATAATTTATGTATAGTAAATAATGAATAATATGTATTTTTATGTATGGGTCAAATTGTGTATCATAAATTAATATAAATTAATGATTTGTAATTAGCTTGCTGTTGCTTGATTTGCACCATCTAGTAGAATTGGTTTTTGTCCGTTTAAATATTTCATAATTCTGAAAATGGAAAAACATACCATGATCAATTACATCCAAATTAACACAAACACTAATAAAATAACAATAGCAACATACTCTTCGACGTTAGTTTTAGTTTCCTCCTCCGTAGTCTTGCTCAATATTTCTTGTAACTTACCAATTAGATAAGCTTTAACGTACAAAATATAAGTAGAGTAAATATAAATATTAATTATCATTATCAATAAATAGGTAAGTATATTAATTTCTAAAAATTCAAGGCTATTTGCACTTCTCGTCACTGACTATGGGTTTCCTCCTACCTAAAGAATTTAAATCGTTTATATTTTTGGCTTAGCCGGTCTTCAGATCAGTTAATAGATTCGTGTTTATTAATTTGTCAATAATATCTTTTTTATTAAAAAAATACGCGGAGGGCCGCAATATCATTGTCGACTAAATCTTAATTATTTTCACCTAGTTCCTGTTTTTTGGACTGGTACAAGTTTTCACCAACTTGAACATTCAGTTCAATCGATTGTTTTTCGAGAACTTGAATAATATAACAATTTTTTTTCCGGATAACTGTCTTCCACTTTTAAACGATTCAACAACACCAACCGCACTTGATTAATACCTATATATAATTAGCAAAAAATAGTAATATCTCTAATAATAATATATACTGTCGGAGTGTTAGCCAGGGCCTAGGATTGTGTGAAGTATGACACTAAGAATGCGAAATCACATTAGTGCAGTACAAAATTAAAAGTGTGTTGATTATTTTAGGATTTTATTAACGCCTGTGTGTTTCATCAATTGATAAGCAAAACAAAAAAACATTCCAAAGTGCATACGCATGTCAAAAAACAAGATAAGTATCAAAGGGTTTTGGTTAGAGCCTAAGAAAAATATGATTTATTGTTACATATATAATTGAACTTGGAAAAATAAATTTATATTCTGCGTGTAGCAAAGAATATATTGGTTTTACAAAGATGTTTTTTTTTTTTTTATTTGAACACCTTCTACCAGAAAGCCTACCCCAATGTATATGATTTAGACCGTTTTCTGAAAGGAAATTTTCTTTAGGTGGTAATTGAGGTTATTTTTCGATTTTCTAAGGATTTTTATCATAAAAAATTGAAAAAAACGGAGGAAAAACTAGAAAATATAAAAAGTGTAATAAACCGTAGGAAAAAACGTAGGAAAATCGG